AATGACATAGTTTTGGGAATAAGGGGAGAAATGTCGGAACGAAATAAATAAAATGATAATTGTATTATTTTTTTTACGATATATTTAAAATCAATGCTTGTTAATTAACAAAGATTTAAATGTTTCTTTGTGGGGAAAAAAAAAAAAATACTTAGACTCCTTTTTACTAACTGATTAACCATAAATTTCGATGATTTTAACGACAGGTAGCCGCCATCAATTACTTTATTTAATTATTTATTTCTCGAAATAACTAAATACACACACGTGGTAATTTAAAATGTATATCGATAAATGTTTAACTTTATTTCTTTTTCTTGACAATGTTTTACAGGAAACAAAAAGAATGTCTTTTGTTAATAAAAAAAAAAAAAAAAAAAAAGAATCGTTTAGAAAGCACGTAGTAAAAATGTCATGTCTTAAATGATATTACTTAAACGGAAGTCTTCCCACTGATTACTAAAAATGGATTTAAATTAGTTTTATTTAATCACGTTGATAGTAGTGTAATTAAGAAATTTTTTTTTTGGTCACAGAATGTTGCGATATAAATTAATTTATGTTTAATATTTAAGTGAAAAAATATATATATATCTGTTCGTTTTCATGTGAATTTTTCCTGCCGTTGAAAATTTCGAAGGAAAAAAAATAATAATAAACATAAACATGCATTGCTACTACTACTAAATTTTTAGTTATAAGAAACAAAATTTTTTTTTTTTGTATTACATGTATGGGAAAAAAATTTGATGAATGCATTCTGCAAATGATATTTTCTATATATGTAAAATATTCATACATATAAAATCCATTTTTTTTTGTAAACAGGTTGCTTATATTTATTTTTTTTTAGTGAAAAGTAGGTTTTTAGCATTGTTTTAATGAGAGTTATCGAGGTGATGTCATAAAATGGATCAGCATTTTATTAAGTTTTGTGTTTTATTGTTTACATTTTTTTTTTTTTTTTTTGTTTATCGACGATTTCATTTACTACAATCGTAATATTTTCGTTACCGTTTTCCCTTTCATTAAAAAAAAAAATGCGTAATAATTAATTTTTTTTTTTTCGGCATTGTTAAATTTTTTTTTTTTAAATAATTAGGTTTGATTCAAGTCAATGGAAATACCATCACAATCGGTGACATTGAAGAAAATTGGTTGTTTTGGTTGCAACATTATGTGGCGATCGCTGTCGTGGTTGCCATAGGACTTGCCTTTGCCGTTTTAATGCCAATCGTGGCTTTGTTTTTCTGTTGCTGTCGTTGCGGAGGAAAATGCGGAGCTCGTCCAAAACACGAAAAACACAATGATTCCTGTAAAAGGACAACGGTTTCTATTCTACTCGGTGGTGTTGCCGTTATCATTTTGTAAGGTTTAAGGTTTTTTGCTATATTTCAGGATTATTTTTATAAGGATGGTAATTATTTTATTACCATTTAATTTTTGCAGATTTGGTGTGGTTTGTGCGTTTGTAACTAACGAACACATGAAAGAAGGAATAGAACAACTTCCTGAAAAAGTATCGACGAATTTAGTCGATACGAAATTATATTTGGATAACACGAAAAAAGAAGTTAATCATTTATTGGTAATAAATTATCAAGAATTGAAAAATCATTTGGGTCATAGAATTGACGGTAATTATTTCAAAAGTTTTTTTTTTTTTTTGCGCACATTAAAATATTTTTGCAAATTCATTTACGTTTTTTTTTTTTTTTTTAGATGCTGGGGAAATAGTGAAAAATCAATTAGCCGTTGTTTCCCATGCTGTCGCTTTGAGCAATTTAACGAATCTCGTTTCCGGAATGGAAATAATAAAAAACGATTTAGCATCGATACAAAAATCTACGGAAAAACTTCAAGAGTTGGCATTGACTCTCGGTGATTATTTGGACGTAACGAGAGACGAATTATTACAAGAATTATACAATTGTAAAGATATAGCAGCTTGTAGAGAATTACTAAATCATCATCAAGTCGCAGAATTAAAAGTTGTAGAAAATTTCAATGGCGTAAGTAAATAATAATAATAATAATATTAATTTTGTAAAATTTCGGGCAGTTAAAAAATCCACCGAGGAAAGTGTAAAAAAAAAAATTATTATTCTTTTATTTTATTGTATTTTTCTTCTTCCATGCTTTCAAAGTTGTTGGATAGATATTTTCCGAAGGTGGGTTGTTGATATTTTTTAATTTTTTTTATCGCGTGTATTAATAATTAAAAACTTATTAACATTTTTTTTTTAAAAAGGAAAATTTCGATGTCATTTTGAACAATTAAAGTCTTTTTCTTTTTTTTTTCATTGTCACTTATTATATAAAAAGAAATTAACGGTTCATTTTTTTTTTTTTTTTTGTGCGAATTTAACGCGAAAACTTTTAATTTATTATGATGATATTTGTTGGATACCAACATGAGGTCGATTAACAGTTTACAGTACGGAATGCATTATGAAATTTTAATTAACATTTTTTTTTTTTTTTCTTGTTAAAATAACGACGACAACAACAACAGCAACAACAAAACATCTGTCTATTCGTGAACTCGAAAAATTTGCACTCATGTCAATTTAAATATTTCCGGTTTCGAGAATGAATTGAAGAAAAACTCGTTGGTTGGTGTGTTTGAAAAGCTGAGTCATTCCCTTCCCCCCCCCACGATTCTTTTCTTTACTTTCTACCAACTTTTTTTTTTTTTTTTTTAACAATTTTGGGTTACCTCGATAGATATTTTCATTTGCAGGTGGCTGACGGCCTGTTTTTCTTTTTTTTTCCTTCACGTGGTTTATTTCAAGTCACGGATTTAGTTGCAAATTTTTTTTTTTTTTAATAAGTCCAAATGGTAAATTTGAAAAAAAAAAGAAAAAAAACGATTTTAAATGGTTAAATAAAAATTCAAAATAGGATTAAAGCTTTTTTTTTTTTGATTTAAAAAGTATAAAAAATAAAAAAAAAATGTGATGATTTATTTTTTTTATTTGTTTTTCAATTCTTGTAAAATAAACTTTTCATTTTTTTTTTTTTTTTTTTTTTTTACTATACTTGTAAATATTTTTAATTAAAAATATTCACATCGTAGGTATTCAAGTATTTGATTTCCGCTTTGACGAATTGAATTGTATTTTTTTTTTTTTTTTGCTGATACTTTAACTTTGAATAATAATAGAAAAAAAATTTAGACTTGGAAAAATTTTTGTTTACGTAGTTACCTGTAGGTATTTTGATCGTGAAATTTTTCAAAATGTCAATTTAAACGTGTTTGATGATATTTGTCCCAATTTTTCAAATTTTTCTCCATGTTTTTTTCTGTTTTTTTTTTTTTTTTTTTTTTTTTTTCAAAACTTTATGTGAGGAAAACGTTGTGTAATGAATTTACTGGTTCTCAAGTTAATCGATAATCTCAACACGGATTTTCCTCCCCTTTTTCCGTCGTTTTAAATTTTATTTATTTAATGTCTATGTTAAAGAAAATGAAATTAAAATTTTTCATTACGTTTTAAAAAAAAAAAAAAAAAAAATATTTTTTTTCTAGCTTCCGGATGTTGCGAATACATTCGTTACAATTTCACGATTGTTAGGAGATCACGAATCCTTTGATTCGATACAGAAAAGAGTTTTAGAAGGACAAAAAAATTTTAACAATATTAAATACGAAATATCCGAATCTTTAAAAGATGTTAAACCCGATTTTATAAGAGGTTTTGAAACGACTGGTAAGAATTAGAACTAAAAAAAAAAATTAAATTTTTTGTACAATTTTTTGGTTTTTTAATAAAAATTTTTTTAATTTTAATGCAGAAACTAAACTAAACGAAATAAATATAAAAATTCAAAATTCTCTTGATAATATGAAATCATTAGTCGAAGATTTCAATAAAGGTCCCGTTGCTCAAGCCAAACAATACATCGACGAATATGCCATATACAGGTTGGGAGTCATTTTTATTTAGTTAATATTAGTAGAAAAAAATGAATTATTTTATATATTGCCATTTATTTTATAGATATTATTTAGGATTGGGAGTAAGCGGTGTTCTTTTATTAATATTACTTTGTTTGACATTTGGTTTGTTGTGTGGAATATGTGGTAAAAGACCAGAAGAAATGTACAGCGACGATGGAGATTGTTGCAACACAGTTTCCGGAGCTCGTTTTCTTATGCTGTAATTTTTTTCCCTTTTTTTTTTTTTCTTTATTATTATTATTATTATTATTGTTGTGGTTTTTTCTTAAATTTTAAAATATATTTCAGTGCCGTTTGGTTAATATTTTTATTTTCATCCGTTTTGATGGTTATAACGTTGGCACATTTTCTCCTGGGAATGGCAACCGAAATAGCCGTCTGTCAACCATTGAAATCTCCGACGGACAATAAAGTTTTCGGTTTGGTCGATGAATTTGTCAATTTGGAAAGTTTAAACGAAGGACAGAGAGGAGATTTAAAACTCAGCGAAGTCATTACGTAATATATATTATTTAAAAATATGAATATATTTGTGAATGAATTTGATATTACAATACAATCGAATATAATAAAAAAAATTTTTTTTCTCTCTCTCTTTCTCTCTCAAGGGAATTTCACAAAAACGAAACGATTTACAAAGCGTTAAAGTTGAAAAATGTCGTTAACATCGAAGAAGTTTTAGAACATTTAGACGAATATCAAATCCAACAAAAAGTCAATCAGTTTAAAAGCAAAATAAAAGTAAGAACTGATAAATTGGAATTATTAACGCCGGATGCGAAAGCTAAATTAAAAGCATTAGCTGATTCTTCATTAAATGACATTAATTTTGATAAATACACACAATTGGTGAGTTTTTCCTCCCCTCCCCTCCCCTCCCTCAATTTTAAATTAACATTAATTACAAAATCGAAATACGATGCAAAATATTGCTTGACAATATTTTAACAATAAAGAAAATTTATTGAAAAATTAATTTTCATGTTTTTTTCTTTTTTATTTTAGCTCAACGTTCAAATAACGAACATAAATTTAACTCAGTTAAGTTACGAACTTCGTACAAATGCGGAAAAAATACCAGATCATGCGAGCAGCGGCTTCGATTTAACAAAAATAAAAAAATTACTCCGAGCCAAAGCTCAATTTTTAGATTTGTTACAAAGGGATTCGGTTGCTCAAATTAGAAACGAAATACTAAACCTTAAATCCAATGTTTCGACGTTGAAAGAACATTTAAAATTTAATCACACGAGTTTACGGGATGCTCTCGATAATTTACTCTACGAGGTTGATCGGGCACAATTGTACCTAATGAAAAATGGCACGACTGAATTGAAATCGGTAAAAGAACGCAATTTTTACCCCAATTTTTCTTTTTTTTTTTTTTTTTTTTTTTTGTAGCTTAAAAAAACTAATGGGTTTTTTAATTGATGTAGCTTTTAGATGAGTTTGTGCATCAAACGCAAGAAAAAATGAGAGACTATTTAAAGAGAGTCGTAAACAAAACGGAAAATTCAATCGGAAAAAGTGGTCCCGTGAGCAATGCGTACAATGCA